AGAAGGGATTGCGGCGTGGCCATCCCCCCCGGGGGGTGATTTCTCGCTTTCTGTCTCTCTCTCTCTCTCTGTCTGGCGAGCACACGCACCATAAAGCAAAAACCTCTCCAAAAAAATTTAAAAAAAAAAATAGAAGGAAAAAAAGTCATGAAAAGTTAAATAGATATGTTTAAGCCAATGAAAGTTTTATTGCATTTTTACTACATTCAAGTGAAAAAGATGAAACAATATATCTAAACTTCAAAATTCTGAAGGACACACCGAAAAATCTTATTTCAATTGTTCATTAAAATGAACTGAAATGGCGCCAGCAGGTGGCATGGTGGTTAAGGCACTGAATCCTAAGTGGCTGACTCCACATTTCAAGTCCTGGACCCAGTGGCCTGAAATACACACCAAGCATGTACGCCCAAAATCCCAAGAGAAGAATAAAGGACAAGGGATTGTGGCAAGGCCATCCCCGCAGGGGGATGATTTCTCACTTTTCCTCTCTCTGTCTGTCTCTCTCCAGTGAGCACCAAGCAAATGTGCCCCATGGAGGGAAAAAAAATTCTGAAGAAAAAAGAGTGATAAATGCACAATGGCACAATGTTATATTTGATCTACATCTCAAGTTAGGAAAGTTTTAAAGTTCTTCACATGACAGTCTAAGCATATGGTTCCTCTGGTATTATTCTAATACAATGAAACTATATAAATACTAACCATAAATACTAACCATATTGAGAGAAGTCAATTTATTTTTATCTGAAAAAACTGAGACACCACAGGTTCTAGAACAGACAGATAAGCAAGTTATGCTAAAGTCTTAGAACTAACTACCTCACATTGAGGTAAAGAAATTTAGCTATACCATCAACTAATTCATGGAGGTAGTTTTTTTTATCTCATACATACAAAGACCCTACATAAATTGGTCCTTGCCACTCTCTCCCACCTCATCTCATATCCAAAGTCTGTTACTACATTCTAGAAGTTCTGACCTCGCTTTAGCTTTTTTAACTCTTTTAATATTCTTCCTAGCTAAAAGTCTCCTGAAAGACAACCTCTACTCTCTGCCAATGTAGCCTTTCTCCTTTTCTTTGCTTGCTCCCATCTCTTTTGGATCCTTACCTCAAATGTTACTTCCACAAAGAGGTATTCTAGACACCACCACCTCCATCTAAGTTTCCCATGTTTTTGACTCTCACCATACCCTGCCTGACCCCTTTACTGTTCTTACACAATGTAATTAAACATTTGTTTTTATATTTATTAATATCTTTCTCAACCACAAGACAGTAGGCAAAATAAGGGCAAGGACTGTTATATGATGTATGACACATAGTACATATTCAAAAAATACATATGAAATGACTTTTCAAACATCAGTTTTTGTACTAGACTGACCTGAATTTGAACTCAAATTTCACTGCTAACCATATATGCAATACTGAAAAAATTCACTTCGCTGAATCATAGTATCTCTATGAACAAAATGTATAAAAATGATACATCTTCCAAATTGATAAGAAGACAAAATATAATAACAACTTGATATTCACCAAAGAGTATGGAACAAATTTTTTTTATTATTGTTATGTTTACAGCATGCATTATACCAGGCTAGAGACTAAGACCAGAGACATATATAGAAATAAAATAATCTCTAATAATAATCTCTATACTATAAGCCATTTATGTTACGATAATAAAACTTTTTTTAAAGAATTATTTATTTAAGTTTATTTATTTATTCATTTATTTTTAATTTGACCAGCGAGAGACACAGAGAGAGAGAGAGAGAAAGTGAGAAAGCAAGCCACCAGGTCCAGGACTTGAACCATGATTGGCCATGTGGGAGTGTCCAGTGCCTCAACCACCATGTCACCTGCAGGTCCCAATAATATAACTTTTTTCATTACTTACTGTTTTAAAGAATTCTGAACCATAGTCAAATTTCAAATGAATCTTAAAAATAATTTCAGATAATAGAAGTTAAAATTGTTCACTACATTAAAAATAGGAGGGGGACCAGCAGTTAGCGTAATGGCTATGTTGCTAGACTCCCACATAGTCGACTGTGGTTCAAGTCCCAGACCTGGTGGCTTAAACTCACGCCGGGCACGTGTGTGTGCGTGCCCAAGATCTCGAGAGGAGAATGGAGGAGAAGGGATTGCGGCGTGGCCATCCCCCCCGGGGGGTGATTTCTCGCTTTCTGTCTCTCTCTCTCTCTCTGTCTGGCGAGCACACGCACCATAAAGCAAAAACCTCTCCAAAAAAATTTAAAAAAAAAAATAGAAGGAAAAAAAGTCATGAAAAGTTAAATAGATATGTTTAAGCCAATGAAAGTTTTATTGCATTTTTACTACATTCAAGTGTCTTAGACAGGTCCAAATGAACAGGATCCAAATATCTGAATACAATTACAGTCAGAATATTCACCTATTCCCACTGAATCTGATGCATAAAGAATGAAAATAGAACAGAAGAGCGATTACAAATCACCTGCTTCTGCACGCCTCTGAATGCTCTGATTGAACTTCAAGAATTAAGAAGAAATACATCATCCATCAGATGACTAGAAATCACCACATGGTCACAAGAAATATGCAAAAGCAAGAAAATACCTCTCCTCCAAGAGAAAAGAATAACTTCTCTTCATCCTCAGACAGTACAGTGAAACTCGTGGAAATGTCTGATAAAGAATTTAGAGTATTGGGAACCAGCAGTTAGCGTAATGGCTATGTTGCTGGACTCCCATGTAGTCAACCACGGTTCGCGTCCCAGACCCGGTGGCTTAGAACTCACGCTGGGCGCGTGTGCATGCGTGCCCAAGATCCCGAGAGGAGA